AAAGAGTGCTTGGTCATGGAAACCAAGCAGATGGTTTATTTTAAAGACAAGATAAGCATATTTGCCACAGAAAGGCCAAATGTTCATTGGATTGAACAATAAGTCCTTGCTGACATTGGAGAAAGCTTAGTAGAGCAGGTGATGGAAGAAGATTGGCATAGTTTGAAGAATGAATAGAAAGTATACAAATGTATAGAGCAGCAATAGGCAATTTGAAGTTGGCCTGTGAAGGAGAAAAGAGAGCTAGGGGATGTGGAGTCTGGAGATTGGTTGGTTGTATTTAAGAGAAGTCAGGTGACGAAGAGAGGAGAGTTCAGGATGAGTTAAGTTTTCATAGTTACTGTGTAGTAGTTTAATAGTTCAGTATATGGTTTTTCCTGTCTCTACCCTACCACTTCCCAGGATGTTTGTGTTTTTTACTTAATTGTCTTTCTGGCTTACATGATGAAAATTAACACAGATTCCCTGAGAGCTGATGGTGGGAAGAAAATGGCAACTCAGAAACATTGTAAGAATCTGGAGGAAAGTAAATTGGAATTAACTTTTGAGGGTCTTTAATTCCTTTCATTAAAGGAATTAACTTCTGAGGATCTTCAGTTCCTTTCATTCCCCCCACTCCCAGGCCTTTTAGTCTCTTTACCTTAAAGATCCCATGAGACTGTCTATAATTTAGTTTCATTTATCTGAAAAATGTGTTGTCCCTTTATGTCCCTTTATTTTTTATCATTTCTTCATTATCATGGTAGACCTATTGAAATAATAGTCCCAACACATTCAGTAGTTTTTTCATAGGAGACCTGTGGTTCAGTAGTTCTCTAGACAATGGGAATTGTCAGCCCGTGAGTGGGATGTCAAAGGTCAAATAGTCCATAAAGGGTAAAAATTCTTCCTCAGGAAAGCATTGTGTCAAAGGTAATAGTTGAACAGTTGATTAGTGGCAATTTCATTTAGCTAACCTAGCAGCAGTACCCAAGCTTTCAAAGTACGTTTTTTCATCTTTTCAGTGGTATATAAAAAGCTAGCTCTGTCTGCTGACTGTGAACACGTTCTTGGTGTTGCTATTTTGTGGGGAGAAGTAATCAAGGCATGTACCCCTCATGGCTTAAGTGAAATCTGAGAAGACATTCCTGTCCTATCAGTGAACAAGCTGATTAAATCCTAAAATGAAGTTTGTGAGAATTTCAATTTCTCTTATCAATTCTATTTCTTGTGTAAAATAGTATCATACGGAAAACTATTTTAAGACATTTTTGGTTCCAATTTTGGTAGTTTCTTCATTATTTACTTCTTGTAAATATTGCAGAATTATGTTTTCTTTAAAAAAAAAACCACTGTAATTATTATAAGAAAGATTAAATTATTGGGGTACAAAGTATATAAAGTAAAAGTTCTCCACTTTTTTCTGATACCTTCTTCCCCATTTTGCTTTTCTCTATTCCCCAGAATAGTCAGTGTTAAAAATTTGGTTTGTATTTTTCCAAAACCTTTCAATATGCATATATATACTTTTTTTATATAGATGGCCATACTGTTGAGTTTTTTTGTTTGTATATGCAGGTTTTGACTCATTTTAAACCACTGCCTTGTATTAAATGAATATATAGTCACGTATTTTATCAGGCTTACATTAATGTGTATATAGAATTTTTTTCTATTTACAAACAGTGCTATAAAGTATACGTCCTTATATATTTTTTTGCAGTTGTGTGAATATATCTAGGGTAAAATTTCAGAATTCTTAGGTTAAAGACTACCCTTTAACTGCCTTTGTAGAGATTGCCAAATTATCCTCCTTTATCAGCTTATTAGACTCTTAACAGTTTAAGAGTTACTGGTTTCTACATCCTTGGCAACACCATCAATCTTAAATTTAATTGCCTGTCAGATTGGTTCTAGTCTGATTTGTGAAAACAGTGTCTTATTGTTTTAAATTTGCATTTCTTTTATTGAAATTTCAAAACACTTTTGTTGAAAACAATCGCTTGTTTGTGTTTTTACCTGTGAGCAGTCTGTTCAGTTCTTTTGTCTATTATTTTCTTTTGGGTTATCTTCCCAAGTTTATTTTCAAGCATTGTGTATTAGGGATGTTGACCCATTCAAGGGGGGGATTAGGTTGAAAATCCATTTCCAAATCATTTGTCTTTCAACATTGTCTAACGAGTTATGTTATTTTAGAGGTTTTTGATTTTCATTTAATCAAATACCAGCTTGCTTCCATGGTTTCTGGGTTTCATGTCAGTCTTAGGAGAATTTTACTCACACAATTATCCTATTTAATAGCTGCCTAGCAGTCTCTTGCATGTATTATATTATATATATTATATTTTATTTAAATCTTACTTCTTTGGGCTCATGACCCCTTTACGTTGTTAAAAATTATTGAGGATTCCACAGTGCTTTGGTTATGTAGATTTTTATCTATTTTCATTTGCTATATTAGAAAATAAATGTTTAAAATGTAAAATTATATATGTACTTAACCCATTGCATGTTAATTAAATAATTTTTATGAAAAAAATTTATTCAAAATAAAAAATACGTAGTGGAAGAATACATAAAAAATACACAGTGGGAAGTATTTTTGTAAATCTTTTTAAGTGCCTGACTTAATAGAAGCTGGATTTTCATAGTTGCTTCTGCATTGTCTTTGGAGATAAGTTGTTTCAGAGAAAGTATGAGAATAAAATACGGCCTCAGACAGGTACATGGTTGGAAAAGGGAGGAGAAATTTTAATAGCCTTTTAAAATAATTATGACTGTCTCCTTCCTTTGATGCTAGGTTTCTTATATGTTAGTTGCATTGTAGAATCTGAAACCATATCCAAGAACTTTTCCTACTCTGTTACATTAAAATCCATTTGTCTATCTTGCATTTAGAATGTATCCTTCACCCATGCACGCCTCTGGTCATTTGGAAAATATTAGTTCAGTGAGTTTGCAGGTCTTCCAAATATTGGCACTTTTCATTATCTAATATCAAAACAATAACATTAATTATTATCACTACCTAAACTCATCAGAAATATCGTCAAGTGTCATTAAATTGTTAAGCTCACAGTGACACATGTAGGCTTTCCAAGATTCTGATTTTCTCCTGAAAGCTCAAATTTTAGTAGCTGGCTCAGTCTGTTCAGTTTTCAAGAAATAATCATGGTTGATCAGCCAATCTTCTTCCAAGTAAAAGTGGTGTTCTTTGAAAAAAGTAACTAGTTCACCTCACAATTCAATTGCCTAAGCATTGTATTGATATTTGGTATGCAGAAATATTTTTTGTGCAGAAAAAGACATGTACACAGATTGAAATTTAATGAAACCAGTCGTTTTTACTGCTGGTTTCCATTCAGTGGCATTCTTAACTGAAACTGACATTACTACTTTGAGAGTTGGTGATAATAAAGGATACAGTGACTACTAGTACAAATTGGTGCCACTGTATAATTCTTGCTGTGTACAGCACCAGTAGGTTTACCAACCGTTGCTTTTGCATCATCAGTGCAAATATCAACACAGTGAAAAATAAAATGTCTTAGCATTTTTATGAAATAGTTTTTACTCATCAACGCTCCTTGAAAGGGCCTTAGGATCCCCTAGGGGCCTGTAAACCACATTTTGAAAACTGTTGGTAGGCACTTAAGATGTTTCCAAAATTTTCCAAAATTAAGAACATTCCTGTACAAACATTTTTGCTTAGTTATCCAGTTATTTTCTTAGGATATATCTTTATATGTTTAATGGCTGAATGCAATTATTTTTTAAAAGATGGAATTAAATTTTATTATTTATTATTTTTAATTGAGGTGTAACAGTTTCAGATGTACAACATGATTCAATATTTGTATGTATTGTGAAATGATCACAGTTAAGTCAACATCTGTCACAATACATATTTATAAATTTTTTTATCTTGTGTTGAGAACTTTTAAGATTTAGTCCCTTAGCAACTTTCAAATTTGCAATGCAGTATTATCACCATGTTGTACTTTACATCCCCATGGCTTATTTATTTTACAACTGGAAGTATGTATCCTTTGACCCCTTTCATGCATTCCCACACCCTTGTGCCTCTGGAAACCACCAATCTGTTCTCTGTATCAGTGAGCTTGGGGTGGTTTTTTGGGGGGTAGTTGGTTTTTTTTAAGTTTTTTTTAAGATTGCACATATCAGCGAGATCATACAGTATTTGTTTTTCCTGTCCAGCGTCTGATTTATTTAACTTAGCACAAAGTCCTCAGGGTCCATCCATGTTGCAAACAGCAAGATTTCCTTCATTTTTATGACGGAATAATCCATTGAAAATGTATATGTATATACACCATATTTTCCTTATTCATGCCTTGATGGACACTTAAGTTGCTTCCGTGTCTTTGCTTATCATGGAGGGGCGGTGCACATATCTTTTTCAAGTTAGTGTTTTCATTTTCTTCTGATAAGTGCCCAGAAGTGGAATTGCTGGATCCAGTGGTAGTTCTATTTTTAAATTTTTGTGGAAAGACTGAATTAATTTTAGAAATCCAGAGTATAATACTTGACACTGTGTGTGTATGTTTAATAGTTTTTCTGCCTTTGCTTTTTAAAAAAAATTATTTTCCTTGAGAGTGGGTTGGCAAATACAAATTATCAAGTAGGTGCTGAAATGCATCTCATTTTTATGTCTGAGATTATCAAGCATTAACCATAAAGATATGAAATATATGTCCACTTGGAAACCTGTCTTCAGACAACATTTTTATCAATGAGTAAGTGAAATTTCCTTAGAGGTGGTATAGTAATTCAGAAAATACAATTTTACTAAAGATGAATCATATGGGATGATAATATTTAAGCATAACTTTTATGTGACATGAGTTTGTCTTCAAAGTATTAGAATAAAACTTTTTTAGACAAAAGTATATACAGATATATAGAAACTACTATGCATTATTTCAGAATATATCTGTGATAACATTACTCGATGAATCCCTGTATTATATTCCCATTTGTATGAGTCCCCCCCCCCTCCCATTCCTAGTGCTCTCATTTCTCTCCTCTTGTTTCTCTGTAAATTCAGCTTCCCTCTTCCCCACTTACCTTTCCAGTTAAGTGCTCCTGGTCTGTTTTTCTTAAATAACTGCTTAATTATCTCTATCATAGCACTTAGGACATTGTAATTGTCTCTGTACAACATTTCTGTAAATTCCCTGTGGGATGAGCCTCAGTGGATCTCTAAGTATAGCAGAGAATCTGTTACATAGTAGGTACAAAACACATACTTTTCATTTTATTTATCTATTTATTTATTTTTTAGCTGCACCACACAGCTTGCAGGATCTCAGTTCCCCAAAGCCCCAAATCCTAACCACGAGGCCACCAGGGAACTCCCAAAATATATACTTTTAAAATGAAAGAAATAGAGAAAACTACTCATTTGCTATTATAAATAAAATTTTTATTTTATTCATTTTTAATTGTGGTAAAACACATATATAAAATTTACTATCTTAACCATTTTTAAATGTACAGTTCAATAGTGTTAAGTACACCCCCATTGTTGTGCAACCAGTCTCCAGGAACTCTCTTTATCTTGCAGAAAAACTTAAACTCTCTACCCATTAAACAGCAACTCTCCATTCCCCTTCCCTTTTAGCCCCTGGCAACCACCACCAACTCTCCATTCCCCTTCCCTTTTAGCCCCTGGCAACCACCATTCTACTTTATTACTCTAGGTGCCTCATACAAGTGGATCATACAGTATTTGTCTTCTTTGATGGACCCTTTTCACTTTCCTTCCTTTTTAAGGCTGTTTAATATTCCACACTACGTTTTGTTCATTCATCTGACAATAGACACTTCCCCCTTTTGGCTGTTGTGAATAATGCTGCTTTGAACATGGATGTAAAGCTACCTCTTTTTTTTTTTTTTTTTTTTGACACTGACTTTCTGTTTTTAGATGGGCACTCTGGTTTTTTAAAAATGATAAAAGCAAAACTTGGCAAGCAAACCTTCGGCTGATCTCTAAGTTTGATACTGTTGAAGACTTTTGGGCGTAAGTAACCATTCATTTTAGGATGTTTGTTGTGTAATTTTTCATTTTAAGTTGCATTCACAAAATGAAGGGTAAGGTGTGAACAGTTAATATTCACCTTTTTTTTATGTCCATCTTCTCACAACTGTTTGAATTGGTTATTATTCCTCATCAATTTTAGAAAGCTCCGTCTTGTCATCTTTTAGCTCTGCCTATGCTCTATTCTTTGTCCTGAGATCTCTTTCGTTGAGAATGCTTTATTGTTCCTAGAATTTCCAACAACTTTTAGGAGCTTGTCCCCTTTCTTGGTTGCCTAGATACATTTGCCGTATTCTTAGGTATTCCAGAGCTTTCTTAGGCCCTCATTTCTGTAGATTCTTTCCAGTATAATATCTGGATTTCCTGTGATAGAGATTCCAAGATTTCAAAGGCTGAACTGCTCATAATTCAGGGTTTGTCAAAGAATGACAATATCTCTGATGATAGTTTATTAATTTCATTATACTTCGTGATCAACATCAAGAAGAATAGTTGAAATATTTTTGAGATTTTGTTTCAGATTTAGCAATAGTTAAGATTTTGGTGTCTTAAATCTTTGCATGACTTCAAAATATAATTTAAAATGATAAAGTTCTTTTCAGGAAGTTTTGGAATATTGATTCTTTAAAAACAAAGTTGATTTAATATGTCTTATTATTTGCTTGAAAAATATATGGGGAGAAACTACTTGAGAACATGAAAGATAAAACTTGTTGAAAACATTTTTAAGAGCTGTAAATTACCTAGCAGTTATCTAAGTATTATAATTTGTTCAGCTGGTGTATTTTGGATCATATCAGTGATGTGATTCTTATGTTTTAATGTTAACTCCCTGAGTGTAGCATACAGACTAACAGATTGTGATTAGAAAATTTATGCATGTAATGTATACTTCCTCCAGGGCAGAAACAATTTTCTGTATATCTCTAGTGCTTTGCCCATATTAGGCATTTAGTATGCATTTGAATCACTGAAAACAAAGCATAGAATAATTAGAGAAAACTGTATATTGAGACCACTTTGAGTGGTCACTTCTTCTTTTTTTTTTTTTTTTTTTTTTTTTTGCAGTACGCGGGCCTCTCACTGTTGTGGCCCCTCCCATTGCGGAGCACAGGCTCTGGACATGCAGGCTCAGCGGCCATGGCTCACGGGCCCAGCCGCTCCGCGGCATGTGGGATCTTCCCGGACCAGGGCACGAACCTGTGTCCCCTGCATCGGCAGGCGGACCCTCAACCACTGCGCCACCAGGGAAGCCCTGAGTGGTCATTTTTAATTGAAAACATTTTTAAGAAATTTTTTTAAAATTTAATTTAGATATTTCACTAGCCTGAAGGTAGAAGCCTAGATCATTTGATCTCCTGAAGTCTATCACAGCAAAATTGTTATAAAACGGGCAACAGAGTAAGAATGCTTTGCCTGTCTCCAATATTTTATACAGAAGTGATGATCTTAGCTATATGACTAGTGACCATGGATGGTGTTATTATCCTTAGTTAGATATTACTATTTGGGAAGTAGTTTAAAAATAACAGATTCTATGGTTCCATCCTATACTTAAGGAATTAAAATCTCAAGAAGTAGGGTAAGGAACTGTTTTTTTATTTTTTTTTTGGTTGCTATTTTAATAAATTTATTTTTGGCTGCATTGGGTCTTGCTGTGCGTGGGCTTTCTCTAATTGCAGTGAGCAGGGCTTACTCTTAGTTGCGGTGCGTGGGCTTCTCATTGCAGAGGCTTCTCTTGTTGCAGAGCACGGGCTCTAGACAGGCGGGCTTCAGTAATTGTGGCACACGGGCTCGGTAGTTGTGGCGCACAGGCTTAATTGCTCTGTGACATGTGGGATCTTGCCAGACCAGGGCTCAAACCTGTGTCCCCTGCATTGGCAGGCGGATTCTTAACCACTGCGCCATCAGGGAAGTCCTGTTTTGTTTTTAAAAGCTCCCCAAAAGATTATTATGCTGACTTAAACTAGTAACGGTGTGTGGTTGGGAACCATTGATCTGTCCCGCTCTTGCATACTTTCAAGGATAATAATGTTGACTTATTTTAGTCATGCAATCCTGATGGTCAGGGAGTTTGTCTTGCTTTCTCTTGATTTGTCTTTTTGTGTGATTAAAACTGCTCATTAGCCTCACGGATTCTTTCATCTACTTAAAGCCACCTCATACCTCTCTTTTCAGTTTCTTGTATATACATATGTATGTATTAAGTTAACTAATGCATCAAAATTGTCAGAATAAAATTATTAAAAATACTTTCTTGAAAATCATCAGATGTTGATTCTTGAAGCTGTTACTGAGATCTGTTTGGTCCATTTCAGAAATTGACTTCATGGGGGCGGGAAGTAAACATGAGTTTTTATCTTATTTTTATCATATTCTCTGAATGTATATGTACGCACCTAAACTTTGCATTACATATGCTATGTTTATAATTATTCTTTTCTTTTATCTAGTCTGTACAACCATATCCAGTTGTCTAGTAATTTAATGCCTGGCTGTGACTACTCACTTTTTAAGGTATGTTTAATTGGTGATTTCATATATTTATTATAAGACTGGACCATTCAGGTATTCATTAAAAAATCTTGCCATAAACTTAGGAATAGTTAATGTTGTGATGCTTGGAGAATAATTAAATTAGCTTTACCAGGTTTTAGCATAAATATATTTTGCCCTATTTTAGTATAAACATTGGGTTGGCCAAAAAGTGCCTTTTTGGTAGAAATAAAAGACACATTTTTTTAAGTAAAAATAAAATACACATTTAATTTAGTTAAAACATGTTTTAAAGTAATAGAACTACATGTGAAGCCCCATAATTCATAGGTCTAGTTGTCTAGTTAAATAAGCATTGTTCTGTTTTGCCCTTCCTCAAAACGTCTAGTGTTTTTCTTCTCTAATTGTATTTATTCAAGGCATGTTTTTCATTTTCTCCAAGAACTTTATTGAACAACGTATTCAGCCTTTGGTGTGGTTGGTGGTGGTTCATTTAGCTTGCCCAGGACCTGTCCCGTTCTACATTATCGTACAGTATCCACTTTTCATCACCTGTCACAATTTGTTTTAAAAACGGGACGTTTTCATTACGTTTGAGTAGAGAATTGCATGCTTGAATACGTTCAAGAAGGTTTTTTTCACTTATGTGGAACCTAAACATCAAAGCGATTCACATAACCAAGCTGGTGCAAATGATTGTCAGCCCTTGATTTTGATATTTTGAGTATGTTGGCTCTCTCCTGTGTGGTATTACGTTGATTGTTCTCAGTTAATGTCTCGATTTGATTGCTATCGACTTCAACTGGTCTACCTGACTATGGAGCATCGTCCAGCGAGAAATCTCCAGCACAAAACTTTGCAAACCACTTTAGACACATTCAGTCAGTCACAGCACCTTCTCCATACACTGCACAATTCTTTTTTTTGCATTTCAGTTGCATTTTTACCTTTCTTGAAATAATAAAGCCGAAAATGTTGCTTTTTTTCTTCCATCTTCAATATTAAAATGGCTACATGAAAATCACCAATTCTGATAAGTCTTTTTTTAAATGCACGCTGATGTGACAGCTGTCACATACAATCTAACGAAATTGTTTTGAATGAAGTTAAAGACAACTGAGTGCTACTAGATGCATCTTAGGGAAAAAACCAAACGAACCTTTTGGCCAACCCAGTTATTGAAATTAAGTGAGAGTCAGACTGTATGGGCACATACTGTGATTGATTTTGAGGAGAGCTTTGATAATCCAAATGGGTCATCCAGTCCGTTTCTTCTTTATATATTTGAGTAGACTGAAGTCCAGAGTTTGTCAGGAATTCTTAACCTGGAGTGTGTGGGTCCTTGAGATATTTATGAGTTTTGTCAGCTGGTAGTGGATGGGACAGTCATTAGCTCTCTGAAATTGTGTAAGTTTTTAATATATTTTATAGGTATAGAAATGTATATAGCTTCTCAAAGGTATCTGTTACTCAGAATGTTTTAGAGCCTCCAAATTAAGTGAAACCCAAGGTTTGATAGTTAATAAGTGCCCAAGTCAGTACTCTAATTTTGCTTTAAGTCTTGTGTGCTTTTTTCCCCACTACATCAATTAACAGTTTTTATGGGTATAAAGTAAATAGTTAATAGGGTTGTTGCTTGCTGTTTCTAGTGGTGATCTCAAGTTAAAGTAACAGTATTGTCTCATATTGTTGTCTCCCTAACCTTGTAGGATGGTATTGAGCCTATGTGGGAAGATGAGAAAAACAAACGAGGAGGACGATGGCTCATTACATTGAACAAACAGCAGAGACGAAGTGACCTCGATCGCTTTTGGCTAGAGACAGTAAGGTTTTAAAATTATAAAGCTGTTTGGAATACTAAAACTTCACTTACGTTACATTTTACATTGGTTACTTAATTCAAGATGAGATAAGGATTCCCACTCTAGCTAAGCCAGCACTTAATTTTGTTCTGTCCTGTGAATCTTGTATACTTCTTACATACTAATACAGTGAAACTCCCTACCACATATTACACATCCAGAAAGTGATTGGCAGTTGATTCACCTTACAGAATAAGGTCATCTCATTAAGTTCAAAATTATGTAACCTCTCACATTTTGTATGATGTAAGTTTTTTTACAGTCCTCTTAGAGTATTGCTCTGTATACTAAACTTTTTAGATCAATGAAGGAAACAGTGAAATTGTAGGTTGATATCATTCAGCTTATATGTTGTGATGTAACTTGGAACTTTTGGCTTCATATGACATTTATTAAATATGAGAAAATAGGCATTTTCTCTAGTGAAAGTTTTCAAACCCCAAGCTTTTAGGAGCAGGGATTATAGTCTCTTTTGTATCCCTATCACTTGACAGTGTCTGGTTTATAGTTAGACCTTACTAAGTTGAGCAATAATAAATATTTCAGTGAATGGCTTTTTAAAGAAGAAACTTAATTTTGTGGGAATTCCCTGGCAGCGCAGTGGTTAAGACTCCCGACTCCCAATGCAGGGGGCCCGGATTCGATACCTGGTCAGGGAACTAGTTCCCACATGCATGCCGCAACTAAGAGTTCGCATGTCACAACTAAGGAGCTGGCAAGCTGCAACTAGGGAGCCGGAGAACTGCAACTAAGGAGCCCGCTGGCCGCAACTAAGACCCGGTGCAACCAAATAAAATAAGTTTTAAAAAAAAAGAAACTTAATTTTGCTTTCGGGAGAGATTATCAGTAATTACCATTTTAGGATTCTGCATTACAAAAAGTCATTTCAGTTTTGCAGGATGACAAAAGTTCCGGAGATTGTTGGTGGTACAATGTGAATATATTTAATGCCACCGAACCATACACTTAAAAATGGTTAATATGCTAAATTTTATGTCATGTATTTACTACAGTTTTTTAAAAGTTAGAAAATGTTCATGAAAAATAAGATCAAAAGGCAATTAAGCAGCTTTTTCAGTTATTCCATTAATATTTGCTGGCAAGTATAAGCAACAGCAGAGCAAAGTGAATATTAATGAAATAATTCACCTTTTATGTGCCCTGACATCAGTTGCCCAATTTGCTAAAAAAGTTAACAAAACTGATCGTGTTCTTGGTATTAAAGAATCAAATTAACAAATTTTTTAAAGGCCAGGACAAAAAACTATATATAAATATAATTTAGGCATTCAGAAAGTCGACTCTTGATTTAAAAACTGTTTTTCAGTTTTGTATATATACAAATATTTGAGACATTTGCAGCTTAATAAGCTGTTTATCATCTATTGAATGTAACTTGAGATTTGGGTTTTTTCTTTTAAGCTGCTGTGCCTTATTGGAGAGTCTTTTGATGACTACAGTGATGATGTATGTGGAGCTGTGGTTAATGTTAGAGCTAAAGGTGATAAAATAGCAATATGGACTACTGAATGTGAAAACAGAGAAGCAGTTACACATATAGGGTAAGTTTTGCTTTTTGTATGCTTCTTTTAAAATAGATAACTAAAAGCAGAAGTACTTTTTAAATTAAAAGTATTTATGTAGATCATTATTTTCCTTGTTTTCATGAACACTTTTATAATCTTGAACTGCTGTGTATTGGTATTCAGTCTTATTCATATTCTTTTCACTTCTGTAAAATTTCTTTTTCCTAGCAGTGGGGTATATAATCACTATTTTAGCATGTAGCATTTTATTATTTAGCATATGAGAATATGTCTTTTTTGCCCTACTTTAAAACCATAATGCTAATGTATAATACTCAATAATTTGGTGAATATTGGCATTTGCCATTGAATTTTAAGTGACAGTAGCTTGGTTTTATCCATATTTAAAACCCACATGTATAAATTTTAAAACTTTTTTTTGGCAAATATTACTATTTGCAAAAGTTGCCTGTCGTCCCCGCTCCCACCCCCACCCCTGCAAATGTCAGTCAGTGTTAACTAGGATTTTCTTTTTACTATATTTAAATTAGTAAAATTGGACTTTAAATTTTGTGTTAAAATTAAGTACCAGTCATAAGTCACAATATGTTTAGTTTGCCTCTTTGCATGTTGATTTTTCAAACATTATGAATTCTCCTGTGAACATAATTCCTTTCTGGATTAAAAGGTGTGGGGATTTTCCAGGTTTCATTCTCCACGGGGTTTCTTATAAGAGAAGGTTGATTGTTGATTCGTCACCATATTCCTGATCTTTCTGTCAGCCTTAAAACTTACTGACAGTGGGGGTCTCCTGTTTCTTTGAAAATGTGTTAAAGAAACTAAGAATGAACTTCTTTTCTCGGAAAGTTTTTTATTTGTGTCGATATTAAACATTTTTGAAATCTCTATAAAACTTCTGGCCTCACTTTTTCAAGGGAAAAATTTTTTTCACCCTTTTAAGCTGCATGGCTCAGTCCTCATTCTGGCATTTTTAGTGATTAAGTATAATTGAAGGTAATACATTATATCCTAATGTAAATCTGATAATAGTTATAATTTTAGTTATAAAATCATTTTTAAATACCCTATTTGAAGGAAGGTAGTAAAGTCTTCTGAAGGGTAGAGTATGAATAAAATTTCCTGGTATCATACTGCTAGAGTATTTAGCTCCATGAAAATCTCTTTTTTTGTTGTTTACCATGTATATCTCTTTATTTTTGTTTCATTTTGGTGCCTATTTTTAAAATTTTGCTATTTTTTCTCAGATACCAGATTCCTAACTTGACCTATGATGTTCTCATAAGATCATATGATGATCTGTCCCCAATTTTACCTTGTCAGCCTTCTCTCTCATATTTACCTTTCTTGTGAGCTGTAGCCACACAGCCTTATTTTTGTTCCTTGGCCTTCAGATATGCTTCATTCTCTTAGCATTATACTTTGACCTCATGAGTTTTTAAAAGGAGAGATTTCTCTGATTTCAAAGAGGAGATTAGATCCTCCATGTTAATAATATCACAACCCCTGTGCTTACCCTCTTTGATACTCAGTCACATCTTATTTGAGAATTAGGTTGTAGGGTTAATATATAAGGCAGAAATCATGTTATGTTCTAAATTATCCTTAAAATATCATAAATCGCCTTCACAGCGTTTAATTTTTGTGTGTGCATTCTTGTCGGTAATAGGTAAGGTAAATGTAATTGCAGTAACATACAATATTTACTAAGGTTTATATGTAAAATATAATTGAAGCATTTTAGATCAGAAAGTTTAAATGTGCATGTAATTGATTTTGAATACATTAATTATGTATGTGATACAGTTCCATCATATGTATTTGTGATTATTTGTTTGTAAATAATCAAATACTCTAAACTATAAACACCATGAGCCTAGAGAGTGTCCTTGCTTTGCTTATTATTAATTTACTGATAATTATCACAGTACCTGATACATAGTAGACTCTCAAATATTGGTTAAGTGATTATGAAGAGTAAATTTTGCTAAAAAGAAAAAGGTGTGCAATTTCCTATTTCACTCTCTAGGTATTATTTTTTAATGTAAAGAATAATACTGGATTTGGGGTGTATGTTTGAATAAAAATTAATGGCTACTTTTCTTCTTTTTCATCTTCTAGGAGGGTATACAAGGAAAGGTTAGGACTTCCTCCAAAGATAGTGATTGGTTATCAGTCCCATGCAGACACAGCTACTAAGAGCGGCTCCACCACTAAAAATAGGTTTGTTGTTTAAGAAGACACCTTCTGAGTATTCTCATAGGAGACTGCGTCAAGCAATCGAGATTTGGGAGCTGAACCAAAGCCTCTTCAAAAGCAGAGTGGACTGCATTTAAATTTGATTTCCATCTAAATGTTGCTAAGATATAAGAGAAGTCTCATTCGCCTTTGTCTTGTACTTCTGTGTTTATATATATTTTTTTTTTTTTTAAATTTTGGCTAGAGTGTCCACTATCCCAATCAAAGAATTACAGTACACATCCTCCCCAGAATCCATAAATGTGTTCCTGGCCCACTCTGTAATAGCTTAAAAGAATTAACGATTACAAACACATTTGACCCGTCTACAATATTAAAGAAAAGAATTTGCATTTCTGTACCTTACAAGAGAACGATTCTGTTTATGTTCCATTGTATGCAGGAGCATATTTTGCTGGTTTGAAAGAGTATGATGCATACAGTTTTCTAACAATTTTCTTTGTTTCTTTTTACAGCATTGTCTGTGCTGTACTCTTGCTGATGGCTGCTAGATTTTAATTTATTTGTTTCCCTACTTGATAACATTAGTGATTCTGATTTCAGTTTTTCATTTGTTTTGCTTTTGTTTTTTTCCTCATGTAACATTGGTGAAGGATCCAGGAATATGACACAAAGGTGGAATAAACATTAATTTTGTGCATTCTTTGGTAATTTTTTTGTTTTTTTTGTAACTACAAAGCTTTGCTGCAAATTTATGCATTTCATTCAAATCAGTGATCTATGTTTGTGTGATTTCCTAAACATAATTGTGGATTATAAAAAATGTAACATCATAATTACATTCCTAATTAGAATTAGTATGTCTGTTTTTGTATCTTTATGCTGTATTTTAACACTTTGTTATACTTAGGTTATTTTGCTTTGGTTAAAAAATGGCTCAAGTAGAAAAGCAGTCCCATTCATATTAAGACAGTGTACAAAACTGTAAATAAAATGTGTACAGTGAATTGTCTTTTAGACAACTAGATTTGTCCTTCCTTTTATTTCTCCATCTCTATAGAAGGAATTTGTACTTCTTATTGCAAGGCAGTCTCTATGGTGTCTTCTCTTGTAGTGTCTCCCATGTGAATAGCGTAAGTTTGGAGCATTAGTTTGATTATTACGTTTATTTTAATTTTTAATAAATTGAATAGGTAGCATCATATATGGAATTAAATTGATGTGGCTATCTTTTTTTTTTTTTTTTAATAAAGTAAGAGGCACAGTCCTTCACTCTTAGGTGAATAATGTACTCTTAATATGTTAAAACTCATGAGAATTGCGACCTTGGTGCATCACCATTTGATTGGTAGGAATAGCAGTTGTAAAATTTCATTGCTGAATTGAGACATTATTTTTCAAGTGTC